ATCTCACAGCAGCAGCACCAGCTGGCGATCTTGTACGCCAAAGCATTGTTAATGCGCTCAATTTAACACAAACACCTATAAATCTGCTGAATGCATCAGCCAACACACTCGAGTCCTTCGAACAATCGCCACGCGGCATTTTAATGGCAACCGCCGCCGCCGCCGCCGCTGCTGCTACTGCTACTGCTGCTGCTGCTGCACCGCTAGTCAACGACACCGACACCGAAACTGACACGGAATCGGAATCGGAACTGACTGATGCAGCTCACTTGGAGCTCTACAACAGCATCAACACTTTTAATAACACGGACGATACGACGGTGCATAGAAATGTTTGTGCGCATCCCGAGTATATAATTTTCACCTGGGTGCTGTGTCTCGTTTCGCTGGCGACAGCGCTAAAGCTCTACTATCTCATCAAAACTTTACTCGCAATGGCTATGGTCGGCTGCTATATGATCTTAATATTGACACTGTTCCAAGCGCTCTACTCGTCATCAGCTGCGAGTTTCGATTATCTACGCATGGCCATGCCACTGGATGTGCAGATGCTTATACTGCTGTGCTCGTTCTTGATTATGGTCGGCTATCATGCGCGCCTGGTAGAGGTGAGTATTTAAGTGAGGGCGAGACTCCTGTCTTTTTATGTTGTAGGTATTTGCCCTTAAAAAAAATTGTTTAGTTAATATGCTGTCGTCCTTCAAACTAAATAAGCGCGTTTACGCTTGAGTTGAGAATGTCAACTTCACATTTTATTGACTAATTCACGTGGGCACTTCAAAATTTAGAAAGCACGCTAAAACTAAAAAAAATAAAAATATTCTTAGTGAACACCTACCCAGTAAACCACAAAAAAAAATGTCGAAACTCAGCCTATTTAGTTGCGCTTCCTCTCCAGTTAGCAGTTCTGCAGTGGAATTCTGACATTCGCTGCGCTAAATTTTCGTCGCAAAAATTCTCCTACAAAATAAAAAAGTAACACATGCAATAGCTCTGATCCAGTACTCCATGTACTTACAGGTTTTTAGGAAGTTACAGGAACAATGTTCCCGTATTCCAAAATCATGTAATCATTTTTTTTAGAGTTGTGTATGAAGTTGCAAGATTTTACTCGAACTCTTTCTCCTGGTGACGTTTTTACAGGAAACATGTTTTTTTTTTAGTTCGCGAACTTTTTGGTTGTTACTCACTGTTTACTCTCACTTTAGAGAGTAAACTTGCTGTTTGACATTTTTACAGGATTTTACACGAAAAGTATTGATCAGAGCTAATGTGTATTCAGCCAAACTTAGCAGTGATGGGCATGTGGCTAAATGTTGCGCGCCTGCTTTTTTTTTTTTGAAGAATTAGCAATATCGTATATTGGAATTCGGCTGCTGGTTAGCATAATCTTATTAGCAAACAGTGATGAGAAGTATGCAATATTAGATACATACATACATACATATTTACTTGAATTGCTTTGCCTGTTTTTGTTTCTTCATGTGGCAAGACTCCCTCCTGATTTAAAGGGCGTTTAAATGCCTTATAAATGAGAGAAAATTACAGAATTTCTCTTTTGGTAAACTCGCTTTCTTTTTCGAATATCAACCAATATCTCTAAGCATGTTCAGGTTTTCTTAAATATTTTGTACAGTGGCAGTGTTACTGGATGCCAGGACATGACCGTTTTAAAATAAATGAGAAATAACCTTGCAAACTCATCTATTGTCTGACCCAGAAAACGAGCTATTTCAGCGTCATGATGTAGTTAGCATCGTGCGTGTCATCTTCAGAAAGACTTATTTCAATCTTAGTCAATCGGAAAGAAACGTTGCTTTTACTTTAACAGCCTGATACACTTGACATTGTCCTTAGATACCGTCTCAGCTCCAACTTAGAACATATTTCAAGGTCCTCTACAACAGTGCTCGTCAAACTTTTGAGTGTGACGGACCGGCTGCAGTTTTTCTATTACGTCGGGGACCGGTACCTTTTTTTATTGATTACTTTTCGTTTACGATCATCTCATATATGTATTAAAATTTGTTTAAATGAATTTCTTCATTAGCCGGGTGTCTATATATGACCTATTACCATTTAATGATAGCAGATATTTGCGATTTTTTATGAATGTTTAACAAATTTAAGTTGTTTTTATTATACAAGTTGTATATAGCCTCATTAAACAGTAATATAAAACATCACAAATGTAATAACTGTAAAGTTATAATAATAAGACATATTATAAGCACGTCAAGTTTTATTAAAATTATATTAATGCTATTGGAAGGCGTCATTCCTTGTAAAGTTACGAAAGTCGATGTTTACTAATGCGAGAGGTGAGCCTGTTTATTATTTACAAGCTTATCAAGTCGTGGCTCAATTGTGGACAGTGCGACACGCAATGGAGAACTAATATTTAAACTGTTCCTGTACTTTGTCTTAATAATACTCATGGTTGAAAACCCAGTCTCACAAAGGTAAGATGAAGGAAATGGGAGTAGAGCTTTCAGAGCAATATCAGCAAGTTCCGGGTATTCTGCTTTGACATGAATCCAAAATGACGCAAGTGATGTCATAGTTTCGAAAACCATCTTCAATCCTTCGTCAGACACATGTATCAACACATTGCCTCTTTGTTCCACGAAAAACAAACGGTATTTGTCGTTACTTTTTGTATGTGCCAGTGTTATTAGTTAGAAGCAAGTCGTCTTAATAGAGGTGATAGCAAATGAACAGCTGATCGTTAATTTGAACAGGTGATTTTGTGTTGGAGATGTCAAACTAGGTTACTTTGCTTTGTTCGTTTGTGTGTTCGCTTGTGTTTTGACTTAATATTTTGACATCTCGGACGTGAAATTTCTAGTGCTACTACCATGTAGATAATTGTACCATGGTTAGAAGTGTGGAGTATACATATAGTCGTATATGTATATATAATCGTTTAAAAAATCGTTGTCCATTTCGCGACGCCCTTTGCGGACCGGCGACTTATGGCTTACGGACCGGCACCGGTCCGCGGACCACCACTTTGACGAGCACTGCTCTACAACACAAATCTAGCTCAACATTAAAGGATAAATTCACAGGGCAATAGGTCAAAACGTTCATTTCAGTTATATCAAATAAAACTGCCAATTCTCCTTGCATTTAGGATTTTTACTGGTCACATCAGAGTACTGAGTCGCTTTTCAAACTTTTGTGTAGAACGTTTTTTATTAGTTGAGGTTGCCTGCTGAAGAACAGCTTCTGATTTACCTCAGTTTTATGAAAGTGCCTGCTGAAGTTATTTGTGCGGTACTAACTGGGCAAGAACCCTGCGATCAGCGTGATACTAGTATTGTGCTCTCTAACTGAGAGCTTTAGTTGGTAATGATACTCTGGTGTCAATTCTGTATTTACATTCACCGTGTCCTAATAGTTCCGGGCCACCATACAAGCATAGCATAATTAGTACTGAATAAAAATTGTTACCTATGTATATCTCGTAACAAAATGTTACGTAAAAAAATGTTAAAATCCCCTATTATAGCGGAAAGAGCGCTCTTTCAAAAGAGCCTGGTTTTGAATGTGTATGACAACTTGGAAAAAACAAAAAAATACACCTTGCCACATGTACTTGGTAGGATTTGGAAAACTTTTAGCTTGAAACTGACTTACGAAGGCAAAGGACTTTCCAAGCCTCTCAAAGATCGACGAACTTGGCTCCGTTTGAAATTATCCATATAGGATTCATCCTGACTACATGAGTCCATCAAAAGACCTAAGAGTAAATGTAAACACGAATTAAGGGTTACGTTTGGGAAAGCATTCCTTCTTTGATATTTTCATTACATATCAGTCTGTCTTACTGTGATGACTGTTCCAATTTTAATATAATATCAGTGAGGCTAAAAAATGTGTAGTAATATTCCTTCCAACTCTTATGTCAACTCAGTATAGTAGGAAACAAGTCTTGGCCAAAAAAAGTAATTGAGGGCGTACATAGATTTTCGGACAATGCCTGCTCTGAAGCGAATAATCAAGTTCTCTTTAATTCAATTTTTTGGTTCGTTGGGTATGTGTAGTAAACTCGTGGCATTCACAGTCAGCGCCCACAAGGAGTCAGCAAACAATTAAAATATGTACCATCTATGTTTTTGCACGTAATTAATGACGTTTTTTCTATTTTCTCATGCTTTTCTCATTTTTCCATTTATTTTTATTTCTTCTTATTTTCTCTTGTGTTCGAAATACTTGGCTGCGCAATGAAACGCCAGGTCACTTCGCGTTTGGATTTCATTTGGAAGGAGCAAGCTGAGCGTGAATTAATGAATATGAAATCGAATCGTGCACTTAACGACACATTAATTAAGGTAAAATAAATGTTTGCGCATTTTGCTTTCTTTTAAAATTTGCTCAAGTATTTTTCAGTATTTAGTGGTGCTTGGCACAAAAAATTAAAGAAACTATTTTGTTGCACTGATTTGTTTTTAAAAATTTAATTATACTAAATACGTACGTATTGCTTATATTGTACCTCCATTATTTGTTTTCAGAACATTTTGCCAGATCATGTTGCCGCCTATTATCTCTCCGATGAACACACAGACGAATTGTATTCGAAAAACCATGCACTTTGTGGTGTTATGTTCGCTTCTATACCCAATTTTCAGGATTTCTATTCGGAGGACATCGACAATGGCAAGGCATGCATAC